CCCTCAGCTTGCGAGACAGCTGTCCGTGTCAAGTGCATGGTCCGGGCTCCATTCTCGTTGCACGTAGTGAAATGCGCCAGAGCAAAATTTTTCCAGTTGGTGCTCACGGCTTGCCTGCAACATGATAGACATGCTGGGTTTGTTTCTGTTCGCAACGCATGAATTCGTTCCACTTGTCGTCATCAATGCGATTTTGACCGTCAATCGCATCGTAGAACTCGTCTTTCCGCAAAAGCATTCCTGACCTTCATATCGGTTCTGATTTTAATAGGCTTAAACTGTGGTATTCCTCTCGATGTTGGCATGTCGGCACGTGATTTTGCAGCACATCAGATCACACGAGCCAAGGATCCACAAAGGGCAGGTGGTGGAATGCAATCCTGGAAAATGCTTCTGCGATGGTGGAATCACACTTGGGAGAGCAAGCTTGCCCGCCCGATGCTTTGCGTAGGTGGAGATGACTTATTATTTCCATCCCAAATGAGCGTATGATTCAGGCAGGGGTGTGAACGCCACGACACCTGCCGTGGTGTAATCTATGTTCTGCGTGTTTGGAGTCGCGGAGCAACACTCTGTGGGGCACCTATCCAGCATGGTGCAGTCACAATTTCCTCTCCGGCAAGACCGGGCCTCGCAATACCATGCACTTCTTGATCACTGTGCAGCCAAGATGTGCCCTCAGCTTGCGAGACAGCTGTACGAGTAGGTGGTATCCGTTTGTTGGTGGCACCAGAGTCTAAGACGTCAATGGAGCGGCCTGTCTGACAATGCTTTCCCTTCTGCAGGTCGCATCACCGTGTCTGAAGCGACGTTCATTTTCGTCTTTGTCAACTTGCGCATGGAGCTTGAAGCAGCATGTTTCAACAGCGAAATGGAACATTGCATGAGAGTTTAGTTTTGAGGCCACGGTCATCAGATCCCTCTCAGCTTCTGGGAGTGAGAAAGGCTGGTTGACGAGTCATTGAACACTGAAACCTGACTGAACCAGGAAAGCTGCTGTAGAGCCGTCTGCGTGAAAGACTGTAGCCAGCCTTGTTTCAGCAAGCAAAGTGTGAGTGTTCTTGTATCATAGATTGTTGCTGGACGTTTGTCAGCGGTACTCGTAGTCGGTTTGGCTGTGTGTTTTTCATGAGCTTGTGTCAGGCATCCCTGCCAAGCTGCATCGAGCCGCCAGTGGAAAGCTTCCGAAGAGCAGGAAGCAGAACACGAAGGATCAGCCTAGTCGCCCGAAGGGCGGCCAACTGACCCAGGAGGCGAAAGCCAGGGCTAGGAGCTGAGCTTTTGAAGGAATGTTTGCTGGTAAGAGATCGGGGCCACACGCATCCTGGGTTGCAGTCTGGCCAACACGGCACAGACAGCCTTTTTCCTTAGTTTTTATTTCCACGCTGTGATAGCTTGCCGTCGCTACGACAGATCCGACAGATTTGCGGTGCTCCTAAAGGCTATCCTTGCTCCACATTGTGAGGCTTCCTGCGGCGATGAAGTCCAGCGGCGCTCGCAAGCCAGGATTCCCAAAGCTGCCTGCAGAGGCTGGATGCTGAGGCATTTTCGTAGTTGTTCATCTTCAGTCCTCGCTGTTCCAGCTGCCTGTACTGCTCGTAGCGAGATGCTTCTGCAAGCGGGAAGACGACGCTTGGAGGACCTCCAGTCTCGGCGAGGTCTCAGAGAGAACCAGGCAGTGAACCAGGCTACAGCAGGGCTTTTCTGACTCGGCTCGTCTGTGGCCCTGCCTCCGTTCGATTTGGCCAGTCCGGGTGGCCGAGCCTTCGCGGGAGGCGAAGAGCTTGAGTCCTACAAGGCCAGCGTTCCGCCATCACAGCACAAGCTCAGCTGGACGTCGTCTCAAGGACGCTTTGCTGCGCCCCTGCGCAGCCAAGGCCTCGGTGTTCGCCCTGCCCAGGCAGACTCGGCGACGTTCCCACCTGCACGGACTCCCGGAGCGTCCAAAAAGATTCGCAGGTCAGCGGAGTCCGCAGCCGGCGAACTGGCTGCCTGGAAGACGCCAGGCCGGTGCAGTGCAATAGGTCTCGTAAGAGGACACGTGGTGACACAATGCGGAGGTTGGTGCCCCGATTGATCTCCCGAGACAGCCAGTGACCAAATGACGATCTGTTTCCTACTGCGTTCTTGAGCCTCCGACGCATGCCGAGCACAACTGTCAATCAAGGTCTGTGCGAACTCGCCTGCAGGGGCGAATGGCGACGACAGCATCACACTCACACACAGGCCCATTAACACGTCATGATGTCGCGAAAGTCAGTGAAAGGAAGAACGTGGCATGCTCGGTAGCTTCTTGGAGGTACTGCCAGAGCATGGAGCCCAGACAAGGCCAACTTGAGACCAGCCGAGTCCAGAATGCTTGTGGATGGATTGATGCACAACTTTTTTCCACAAAGAACCAGCAACATTTGTTTGGGCGAGGAGCCAACCTCTGAATGGAATGACCGCCAAGTTAGAACAAGCGCCAGCTGCAGCTGTTTACACTTGCTCAAGTGGCAAGCTTGATGTCACAACGGGTAGAAAGTGCGAACACCCGACAGCTTTCATTTTCATTGATCATGACATTAGACACGGAACCCCGGACAGAATGCTCAGATTAGCTGCGCGATGCAGTTCTGTCTCTGCGAAGCTCTTCGCACCCCTGCCGTGTCCTGTCTTATTGTGCGACGCTGTGTCAAATTACCAGAACCAAGCAGCACCAATTTCTGGGACATCGACGTGGGTACTTAGCCTGCTTGGAGATGGTTGTCAGTCTTGGTACAGTTGATGCTGAGTTGTGTTCGCTCGCTCAATGTTTTTGCAGCCACTGCCACAAATCCGGTTGCCATAATCTGGAACACAACTTAGCCTCTTGACCCTGTGCAGCCCAGCTCCTGATTGAACAGGTTGCGTGCTCCTCGGATAAGCAGAGTATTTCCTCGATGCAAAGCAACAGCGGCGCTCGAGACACCTTTTGCTGATGCAGGCGTCTCGTTCTTCAGACGTTTAGCCGTGTGAACCTACCAGAAGCATAGAAGCATCGAACTGCCTCAGGCACGAGCAGCTCGGCTGTGGCCGGGGAGCTTGTAACTCCGGGTTGGGAGCGCGCTGTGGGACTTTGGCTGGCGGGGTGGCTCGATTCAAGACCCATGAACCTGATGACGACATCTCCGAAATGTCCTTTCTTTCTTTCGCGCTCTCTCTCTCTCTCTCTCTCTCTCTCTCTCTCTCTCTGTCTGTCTCCACACACACACACACACACACACACGCACACGCACGCAAACGCAAACATCGGCATCGGTCCTATGAAGCAGTGCTTGCATCCGTGTGGTAAGGACCTGCGGCATGCTGTACTCCATGATTGCCATTGGAGGCCCTCAACTGAAGCTGGCATTCCTGAGAGGGGCGGCCGACAGCTTGCTTGCAGCAGGATACACGAGGCTGTCCGGCAGTGGCTTATCAATGACAGATTGGCGATACTTACCCGCAGTAGCACGAATCGCAGATGGCACCTTTGCAAACGAAAGTCCCAGTCGTGTCTAAGGTCTGGAGGGCAGGCGGCTGCCGCTGACCGAAGATGCATGGGTCAAGGCCTGAAGCCGTTTATCAAAGCAGTCTTTAGCAAAATGCAATCGACTCAATGCTGCTTGTACTGGTAGTTGTGCAGGAGTTCGAGGAATACAAGAAGTATCCGGAGTACCAGCGACTGCACGCTGGTAAAATGGAGATCGACGAGATTCTTGGGTGCATCCCATCCTAGTGTTGCTTGTGTTTACATGTACGTGTGCCAGCAACCACGGTGCACCTGGGGTTGAGCTCATGATTCATATTGTGACACGGAACGCTTGACATGTTTGAAACGCTCGATTCACATCTTCAGTACTTCCGTGCCCTCTGCACATGCTGTGCTCTGGAGTCAAGTGGATCAAATACAAATTGTTCAAGTAGGGTAAACGGCGACGTTTAGCATGTAGCTGCCAATACCTGCTAAGTCTCTTAGTGATACAGAACGTGAAGGGCATCTGCAATCCTTGCTGAGTGCCGATGAGCTCTGCTGTTTGACGATATCAAAGGCTGCAAGTACTTGTGTTTTCGTACATACTTGTTTTGCTTCTTCTTTCAGCACTGCCTGACATGCTTGGTAATGTCACGGCTTTATGACAGCCGTTGATAGCGACGACTGCAGGCAATCGTGATGTTCTTTGGGCGATCTACCTACACCGCATGGCGTCCTCCCTTGAGAACCTTGAAGTGCTCTGTTGGCCTGGGTGCTCTGAGTACAAACTGCGGGATGCGAAGACGTATATAAGTGGGTGGGTGGGCCGGCGGGCAGATGGGTGTGTCGCGATCGTCCTCGATCGGTAGTAAAAAACCCTCTGTGATATTTTGCAAGTACCTGCTACCTCACCTCATCGCACCTGGGGCCGTTCTGCCCCCTATGATGTCATTTCGTGCTGAGTCCTTCCTTTGGGTCTGACGACTTAACTGATTGTTTGTTTGTGCGGGTCAGCATGCTTCTGCATGAGCGTGTCGCAAGCGAAATCTGCGAGTGTCGAGACTTCACGAGATAGGCCGGAATGCGCGACCGAGTTGCGTTCATGTCCAGGTTCAAGCGCATCTACTTCGTGGAGTGGTTCCATCGTATGTGGGGACGGACTGCTGGTCTTCTTTTTGCTTTGCCGCTGGCGCCTCGGCCAATGAGTTCTCTGCTACTGGGTGTGACCTGAAGCAACGCGGCGTGCTCTGTGGAAACACACACACACATTCAGCAATACCGAAATCACCTGGTAGTGGAAACATGGTTGTGTCGATAATGTCTGGATGATGACATCTCTGCCCATGGTCGGTTGGATTTGTAGGAAGCGCGCAGACCTAAAGTCGAAGTCGAAAGCTTCGGACCCAGGCGATGTCAGTGCAGCGTGCAATAAATGTTGGCGTTCGAACAGATAGGTGCAGGCATGCAACGGTCGTGACGTCATTTCGAATCATTGTCGTTCTTCAGCCCGACCGACAGGCGCAGCGATAATGGCAAGGACCCACAGCATACAAACTTTCGCGCATGCTCCAGATGATCTAGTTTCTTTTGTGCAGAGTCGAAGCTCCTGACGTTTTGATCACTGCTCCCTTGGACCAAGGGCTACTTTGCTGCCCGGGGCGTTTTGCGTGCTCGGCTGGGTGCGCGACTGACGGGCTTGTTCGGCCTGGGACTGTCTCAGGCACACGAGACATTTCGAGCGGTGCTGCCTGCAGTGAATCTCGGCCGTGTTCCTTGGAGGCCTTTGTCGGCTGGTGGATGGTTCGAAGCGGCTTGGACCCACCCGAGACGCATACGCCAAGTCTGGGGCAGCACCAACGACCCCGTGCGACTCGTCTCTACTGCTTATGGTTTCGGTCTCTGTCCTTGCCTGTTTCATCTTGATCAAAGGTTTTCTGCTTGGAAAGAAGAAGGGGATTCCGTAGGCTATTGGCATGAGCCGGCTGAGTCGAGCACAATTCGTTCGGTCGTCCAGTTCTTGCAGCTCAGGCTCCAGACTTTGATCGCTAAAGCTAGGGCTTGCGATGTTTACTGTCTGTTTGACCTCAGCAGCCCGGATTGTTGACTTGATGATGAGATTTCTCCGCTCTTGTTTCCGTTGAACTCCTGGCACCGCATTGCAACTGATTTTTCTTTCGTTTGAAATATCTAAACACTTATCGGCTGTTGACGATGGAAAACTGGCTGATGCTCAGCTGCGTCGAGATTCTAGTTCGCATTCCGTCAGGTATCGCCATACCGCTTGGCTTCACACTGGACTGCTGCTCTGACCATCTATGCTGGATGTGTTTGGAACACACTTAGCATCCGGGCACCAGTTAGTTTTTTTGTTGCTGAACGATCCCCCCCATTAAGGTCTGCAGATCCCCCCATAAGGTCTGCAGGGTTAGTGCAACAGTGCGTGGCAAAGGTTCAGCTGCAGCTGAGACATGAATGCATGACTGCCGGTTTCTGATATCTGAAAGCCGAAAGAATGCAGAAACAGACACTGCAGGGGTCCATGGTGAGGGACCAAGCTCTCTTGGTGTTGTCGGCGTTCGGCCTAGTCACTGGTTCATGGTTTGGCTCAGTAAGTGCGGACTTACAGAAGAGGCGGCCTTGCGAGAGTGCGTGCCACCAAAGTCCCGTTTGGAGAACACTTTGTGGCATGACAGGCTTGTTGAGACCAAGCCCTGCAGCGATACATGGCTGCGCGGAAGCAGTTGCAGCTGCGGCGAAAGTAAGGACGTTGGCGATTCCCGCCACGTTCCTTGCCGAAAGATGCCAGACTGTTTGCATGTGTTTAAAGGATGGTGCTTTGGATCAAGTTGTAATGGAATAAGTAGTCGCGGATCCATCATCAGTGCCCAAATCGTGACTTAGGTCCGCGGTGCTTCTCACGCTCCTGAGCGGTCCGTTTGTGGCCGGCAATGATGCGGGACGAGCATACAATACTTGGCCGAAGATGCTGGACGACTGGGTTCCTCCAGATCCGCGTCTCTAAATCTGTCTAGGGTAAGCCCTTGTATGAAGAATGAATCATGGGCCATGGGGTCATGGAAGTGTGATGGGTATCATCACATAGTGTGTGGTGCATCCTGCACTTGGCAAGGAATGGTCAGCTGTAGCAGTCCAGCCGCTTAGCCGGTGGCGGGCATTCTTCGAGGAAACTCCGGTGGTTCAGTTCAACCACAGGACCTCGAGCACCCAGCTTCTTCAGGGTGGCTTGCATAGGACATGTTAGCTCCATTCAATGGCACCACCTGCGGAGGATGCTGGCGTATCTCTCGGTTGCCTCATCAATTGGAGTCTGGGTTGCTTGTCGGATTAAGTCGGATCCCTCTCCTTGGAGCAGGTCAGGGCCCAGGCTTTGCGCAGCTTCTGTTCCGGGGTTGCTCCGACGGCATTGAAAGAGGTCTAGGACGACGAGAGATGTTGAAGATTTCAGGAGGAAGGCCGTCTGTGGGCCTGATGTCATTATCTTTTGAATGCATGACGCATCTCCTACAACAGCCTTGGAAGTGAACCCATTTTCAAGCAAGCAAGAGGCGTGTTGTGCTGCAAGGCTTACTCTATGCAACTGCCACTGTCCGCAGCTGCTGCGAGTGCTACCAGCTTGTTGCCGATCATGACGGCAGCACAGATGAAGCTTGGCTGTCCTGCGAATCAGAAAAACATAGAAAAACATAATGGCACATACAATGCATCGCACGACAGACTCAAGACTAAGGACACAAATGCAACTGTGAGAAGCCTATCAACCCAAACAATTCGTCGGGCCGTTGGTGTACGTCGCGTTAGCACGCCCCCCGCCACGAGTTGCCTCTCCCTTAGCTGACGCAGTCTCTGAACAGTGTGCCGCATTTTAGACATGTAGCGCCAGCAGGTTCAACCCCGACTGTTGCGACTTCATGCCACAGGCTCCAATCCATGGATATGTAAAGGACCCTTGGGCCGCAGGCCTCCACCCGTGCCAAACCTGAGAGCCTGCCGCCACCTGCGTCCCTCCGGCGACTGTTCTGCGATCGAGACCAGACTGCGGGCACAGGCCTCAACGGTCTTTCTTCGGGAGAGGCGAACCGATCGAAGCTGCATCAAGCTTGCACAGAAGCAGCAAAATGAGCCGCGCGACTGTTTCCAGGATCTACCCGAAGAATGCAAAGAACCCCAACTTAAGAAGATAACGAGAATTGGACGAGCCGATGTTTTCTCGATGGGCTAAAGAGGAAGAGGGCACAAGGATGCTGCCATCCAAGCGCACATATGGCATCAGCAGTATGGGGAGGAACAGGTCAAAACGTAGACGAACGCATGTGCCTTCCACTTCCGTTGAGCTCAGCGGAGAGGCGAATTCTCGTTCCACTTGGATGTTTCAAGCTGGGGGCCTGTGAAATCTCGTTTGCGGCAAACGGTTTGCCGCTTGCCTGGGCATCTTGTTTTCGCGCAAGACATCACGGCCTTCGTGCAAGAGATGCGCATCGTCAGTTCTGCACTGGGCATTGCAACACAGTTCACTCGCCAAACGGCTTCGCCGCCACCCACTCCTCGCTGAAGCAAAGCCAAACGACTCAGCCAAGCCACTCCAATGCGTTGCAAGTTTGGCCTGGTGTCAATGTGGTCACTCCCGGCTGAGAGCTTACAAATACACGCGCTTCGACATACACACCACGCCATTATGTACAGACCCAGTGAATGATGCAAGAGGCGTGTGCACGCACGCGTGTCGATGCAGAGCGGAAACCCGGTAACTCGTGGTATGTTTCAGTGTAGTTAAACCTTCAGAGTTTTCTTGACCACGCTTACTTCTTGGTCGCGGTCACTCGCACACTTGAGGTGTTTGGGCATTGCGACCCTGATGCTCTACGTTCCAATTGAGCTGGGAGTAGCCCACCAGGTCGGGGTATCTTCTCTCATCAACTTCTTCAGTGGGTCGCATCATACTTCTCCTGCGTAGTTTAACTACAGAAGCTGTCTTTTCTGTTCTGCAGGCTGGAGGTGTCGCCGTGCTGACGGCGCAGCTTTTCGTCTTGCACACGCTGCGGACACCTTTGCGCATTGCCTAGCCGAGAACCTCGACAAGTTGCACGGACGAGTGCAGGTGCCCTCCCGCCTTCCAGCAATTCGCTGCCAGACAGGCTACGGTTCCTTCATTTTCCAGCGTCGTGTGGCGAGCGCTGACTGCAGTTTCAGGACGGAAAAGAGTTTGTGTCTGAGGATGTGGCGGACCCATGTGGACCCTCAGTTAGTGATGACCATTTCCATTTTCTAACCATGCACCCCCCCCCCAGCACCCCAAACCATAACAACCTATACCTCAACCTTCAACCCATCCAAGATTCATAGGTAGAACCCTAGGAATAACTCACCTGAAGACCCAAAACCATAACAACCTATACCTCAACCCTAACCT